AGCAGGAGGCGCCCCCCCCCCCAAACACACCCAGGCCAGAGCCCAGGGCCGGGAGTTGCCTCCAGAGGGCAGAGCCTCAGGCTAATGTGGCATGAGTGGCTGCTCCCAGCACTGCCAGTTATAGCCCTGATCTGAGACCTCCTCTCCAGGCCTTTGGGTTGTGGAAGTTCCTGGGTAGTGTCCCCTCCAGATGAGGCCTGAGGAGGGTGGGGACAGCAACTCTCAGAGCCCCCTCACCCCACTGGGGCACACGCTGAGGGCAGGGCTCAGGTTGGATGTCATGGCTACCTGCCCAGGTTGGGGCAAGTCTCAGCAAGGGCCACCCGGTGTGAGCATTGCTGGAAATGGCTCTGAGACCCGCCCTGGGGTCTGGGTTAGGGGTGAGGGAGCATGGGGGAAAGAGCTTATGAAGGGGGAAGGCTTTTCAGCCTGTGTGTGTTAGTGTGTGGGTTTCTGTGTGTGTGTGTGTTAGTGTGTGTGAGTGTGTGTGAATGATTGAGTTTCCGGCAGAATGTCTGCAACGCCCTCTGTTTGGTGAGCGTTGGGCTGGCAGAGCCCATGAAGGAAGCTCCAGCTGTGCTATGGGAACCTGGGCTATCTCCATGTGTGTGGCGTGTGCCCTGTGTGTGTGCTGCATGTACCTATGCATCAATATCCTCTTGTGGGGGCCACCTTTTCTGCCCTCTCTTCCTTTCTCTTTCCCACCTCCAGAGGGAGGGTTAGGAGCTTTGGAAGCAGCTTGAAAACTCACAAAGAATTTACAAGTTGAGAAAAGACACTACTATTGAGGTGACATCCCCAGAGGGTGTGCCACCCCTGGTGCTTTTGTGGGGACACAATTAGTTACCCCAGCCCTCTTCCTTGGAGCCCATGGTGATTTCCCTCCCTTCCTCTGAATCTCCCTGCCCAGGGCTCTCTCCCACTCTGGCTCTCTTCCCTCTCTCCAACCCCTGTCTGCTCTCATATTCCCTCAATGTCACAGCCAGAGAAATCAGGGTGAGACACCAGGAAGAACTTCTCCAGGAGCGTAAAGGAGTGCAGAAAGGCCGGAGCCCTTAGGAAGAGCTTGAGAAAGCGTTTAGGGAGACTGAAAGGCTAGGGTGAGGCTCCCTGGCCTGGGACAATGGCAGACACCCCGCCTAGTGCTGGGTGAAGGAACTCTCCCTGCTCGCCCCTCCTTCCCAAGCCCCCTTCCCTGAATACTTACCCTCCTGTCAGCGGCCCCAGGTGCAGGGAAGAGTCCTCTCTTTGTGGGTTGCTTCCAGGAGCCCTTCCTTAGGGTGGAGCCTCTGTTCTCTGCTGAGTTCTGGCTCATCCCTGGCTTGCCTTGTGCTGCCCCAGGATCTGGCAGATGCCATCAGGATCCTTATCTCAGAAATGAGCTGATGTTCTCCTGGCCTGGGGCTGGAGGAGGCACCACCAGGTCCCGTTAGAGCCCCAGTAGCTAGCCTGCCTGCTCTGGGTACCCCTGGAGCCTAGTGGGGTTAAAGCATGGCTGGTGGTCCAGCCAGGGTTCCGAGGCACAAGTTCAATGATGCCTAAGCTGCTGGGGTGTTGCAAGAGTGCATGCTGGCTCTTTAGAACCAGGTAAGTTTCTACAGGTATGTTTGGTTTTGAACGAGCACACATGGACTATACAGTGTGCAGTCGGCATGTCTTCTGGATTATTCTGGACTTGTGTTGGTGTGCAGATGTGTGTCTGTATGAATCTGATAGTTTGTGTGTAGGAAGGTGGAACTGCATAAGTACGTACCTGCATTTGGAAGGCTTATAAGAGTGTGTCTATGTGTTTATGTCTTTGGCTGTGACAGAGTGTAATTGTGTGTATGAGATGCTCTCTAACTGTGAAGGTGGTCTCAGGAGAGAGCCAGAGAAGGGCAGAGCTGAATGAGTTGCTGAGACCAGGGGCTGAGACTCCAAAGGACTTGCTGCCTACCAATAAAGAATGCAGGAGGGTGGTCCAGGCTGAGCAAGGGGCCTAGGGAACCAGGGGTGCAGGAGATTGGGAGGCAGAGCCTACTTGCCCTGCCTGCCAAAGTTGGGGTCCTGGGCACCCCCCTTCTATTCTTCTCTAGGTCCAACTGGTTGGGGCTAGTGCTTGCCTGGGGCTTCAGAATAGGAAAGGAGAGGAGCTTAGTGCTGAATTTCCAGACGGTAGGTCCTCACCCAGGCTGACTCAATGGAGCAGGCTGGCAGCACTGGGGGGGACCCAATTGGAGTGAGCATGTGGGGACAGCTGTACCCGAGCCATACAATCACGTGAGGGCAGGACACAAAGTCCAAATTGTTACACGTCATCACGCAAGGCTTACATTGTCCTACAGATGCACGTGGCCACAGTCCCACTGTCACATATGAACACAGCTGTCATGCACAGGCATGCGCTATCACTCAGAGCACTGACATAACCAGGCCCCTGCCGTCACACACACGCACACAGCCACAGGCATGCACCATCAGATACAAGACGCACACACACTACACCCCGTTCTGCTTCTTGGGCTGGGAAGGGACCCCAGAGGCAGTGGTGCCCATCCTCCTGCCTCCAGATAAGAGGCAGCTTTTAACCAGCCAGGCTCCTCTGTCACGGCACTTAACAGCTCTGTGTGCTCCATGTGCACACTGCACACACACGCACATCATGTAAATATAAAAGCAGACAACCTACCTGGTCATGGCATGAGTATCCTTACAGTACACATAAGCAGCCATGTATACATACTCATACATGCATACACAATCATGCATACATACAAGCATGACCAACAGCTGTATACATACGAGCAGGATTCAGATGCAATCCCACACACAGAATATAAACATGCATACACAAGTGTGTACAGACTTGCATATATGGCTTCATGCACACACAGACACACTCAGAGCAGCCCCTCCCCGCGGAACCCCCGCTCAGCCTGGGTTGCTGCTGACAGGGAATGGTGGAAGGGGAGGCTGAAGCTGACCACCCAAGTTCTGGTTCTGTTCCCCTCAGCCTACCTGTTCTGCTCTTCCCCTAGCACTGCTGTCTGCTGTGCGGATCAACGGGGACGGCCAGGAGGTCCTATACCTAGCAGAAGGGGACAGTGTAAGACTAGGCTGCCCCTACATCCTGGACCCTGAGGATTATGGTCCCAGTGGGCTGGACATCGAGTGGATGCAGGTCAATTCAGACCCTTCACATCGCGAGAATGTGGTGAGTTCTGGGCACATGGTTCCCCTTACCCTGCACTCCATGGTCTCCTGGTGGGCAGCCAACACCCTGAGGGGAGGAAGAGGGCAGATTCTAAACCAAGACCTTGAACTTCCCCAAGGCCTCCCGTGGAATGAGGCAACAGGGATGAGAGCTCTGTAGTCACTCCAGAGGGGTGGTACCTGCCTTCAAGAAGTTCTCATGCTCTGGCCAGGTGGCTCAGTTGGTTGGAGCATCATTCCATACACCAAAAGGTTGCAGGTTCAATTCCTGGTCAGGGCACATACCTAGGTTACGGGTTCGATCTCCAGTTGGGGCATGTTCGGGAGGCAACAGATTGATGTTTCTCTCTCTCCCTCCCTCCCTCTCTTTGTAAAATCAATAAACATATCTTCCAGTGAGAATAAAAAAAAAAAAAGTTCTCAGCCTGTCCTATGCTTTCCAAAGTACTTGCTCTTATCTGACCCCACCCACCTTTCAGCTGAGAAAAGTAGTGTCAGAAAAGTTGAGTGACTTGCCGAAGGGAGCCAGTCCACATGGCCCTCCTTGGCTCTGCCTGTCTCACCACCTGTCTTCTTCTCTTCTTTACAGTTCCTTAGCTACCAGGACAAGAGAGTCAATCATGGCAACCTCCCCAACTTGCAGCAGAGGGTCCGCTTTGCAGCCCCAGACCCCAGCCAGTATGATGCCTCCATCAACCTCATGAACCTACAGGTATCAGACACAGCCACTTATGAGTGCCGGGTGAAGAAGACCACCATGGCCACCCGGAAGGTCGTCGTCACCGTCCAAGGTATGGCCAGTCTCCTCTGGGCACCCCTTCCCTAGACTTCAGACCAAGGCCGGCTGGCTGCTCTGAGCCTGACTCTGCCTTGTGGCTGAGCCTGGCTCACAATTGCCTGCTTTCCTGCAGCTCGGCCCGCAGTGCCCATGTGCTGGTCTGAGGGCCACATGGTACATGGCAACGATGTGGTGCTAAAATGCTATGCCAGTGGGGGCACCCCGCCTCTCTCCTACAAGTGGGCCAAGATCAGCGGGCAGACCCACCCCTACCGTGCAGGATCCTATCATTCCCAGCACAGTTTCCACTCTGAGCTGTCCTATCAGGAGTCCTTCCACAGCTCCATGAATCAAGGTGAGGGGGCCCTGGAAGAGGGAGAGGGGATGAGTGGAAGATCAGGACTTTGAGACCCGCTGGGGCTTCCTGGGCCATCAGTGGCACCAAGTCAAACCTAGAACCCCTGTGGGAGATGCCTCCTCTGAGCTTGTTTCTATTGAGAAGCTGCTATTGAGAGGTCAGGAGGCAAAGGGGTGGGAGAGGGTTAGCCGAAAGCGGTGTGGTTCATTTGGAAAGAGCACCTCTGAGATAGACAGTGGGCTTGAATCCTGGCTGGACCACTGACTGGCTGCAAGGCTCAGGCAACTGGCTTAACCTCTCTGTGCCTTGGTTCATCATGTATGAAAAGGGAATACTAACATCTGCCTTCTAGGGGCCTGTGAGGATTAAATGGGTGAAGTGTGCAAAGCTGCTGGTACACAGAGAAGCTGGCTGGCACTCAAAATCCAATCAAGATGATCAGAGCTGGAGCGAGCCGTAGAATTCCTCTGGTCTAACACTATCTTCACTGTACAAGGCTCAGAGAAGGGACATATTTCTCTAAGGTCACAGAGTGAATTAATGATGTCTCTGTCCTGTTGCTGGCAGAGGGCTTCTTCTTTGCTTCTCTGTACCAGCAGGGGGAAGGTGAATCCCCTGGAGTGTGGAGTAGACCTGAGTGTGTGTGCACACACCGTCCCTCCTTCCACCCCCCACCCCACAGGCCTGAGGCTGGGGTGAGGCTCTCAGACACCAGGCTGCTCCGCCTCACTATAGCTCTGTGCGGCAACTTCTGTTTCAGGTCTGATGAACAACGGTGATCTGGTGTTGCAGGACATCTCCAGTGAGCAGGATGGGCTGTATCAGTGCACCGTGGCCAACCACGTGGGCTACAGTGTGTGTGTGGTGGAGGTGAAGTCCTCAGGTAGGTGCAGTGGCTGTGGGGGTCCTGTAGCTGGACTGGAGGAAACTAGACTGTGTTTTGGAGCCTCTGCTGGCTCTGCCTGCCCATTGCATCCTGTGCAGGTCTCTGCCTAGGGCAGGCTGGAAGCTCTGGGAGAAATATGCAAACATAGAGGTTAACTTGCATCTACCCAGATCTTCCTCACTGAGTGTCCCAGGGCCCTGAGCCCCTCTTTCCCACAGACCCTTTGCCCTGGCACCTGCCAGGCTGCAGAGAGCCTGACTAGTCTCTCTTTCTCTCCACAGACTCCCGGCGTGTAGGCGTGATCGTCGGCTCAGTGCTGGGCTCTTTGCTCCTGCTGGGCTGCCTGCTGCTGGGCATCTGGGGGCTCATCTGCTGCTGCTCCGGTGGAGCCGGGGCTGGTGGCTCCGGCGGTGCCTTTGGCTATGGCAACGGCGGCTGCGGCAGAGGGGCCTGCGGAGACTTGGCTAATGAGATCAGGTAAAACCTGATGCATGCTGCATGTGGCTGTGCGACGCAGACCGGCACCCTGCTCCTCCTAACCCCTGCCTGCCACTCCAACCTTGCCTGCCAACGCCACGGAGTGCTGGGACCGCCGCATGTCGGCCTGCCACTCGTGCATGGCTTTTCTCTCCCTCCCTCCTCACGCCCCGGCTTCAGCTCGGCTCTCCTGGCCCCATCTCCCTCTGTGCACCTCTGTCTGTCTTGTCTAGACTGTAAGCTCCTGGAGGGCAGGGCCTGTATTTTTCCACTTTTCCCCTGTATTGAGCTGGTGAGAACTCTGGACGTGTTTATTTAAGAAGAGTCAAGACTAGTGCTAATAATTTATATTAGAAACAAACTAGAAATAAAAATAGAACAAGACTTGTAATGCTAATGATTGAAGTGTCCTGGGGATGGAGGAAAAGATGATGAAGATTGAGGGGCGGGAGGTGAGAAGGGAGAGAGGGCAAGGTCAGGGTCAGTTAAGGAAAGAAGGGCCAGGAGAGCAGCTGGCTCTGCGTCGCCAAGGTTCCCACCCTACTCAAGTCGGTGGCTCTGGGGAAGGGGCCTGGGCACCGCCTGGATAGGGCTGCCTGCCCTGGGCTGTCCGGACACGTGTGGACAGCCCTGTCCAGAAGGGAGGCACGGCCAGGACCGCCGTGGGGTCACCCGCCTAGGCGGAGAGGAGAGGAGAGGAGGTGGAGGCCGAGCGGGGAGGCGAGGGGCTGCTCTCC